ATTTTTTCCCCTCGATTCATTGTTTTAGTTACGAATTTTCTTTTTTAAGAATGGTTCGCCGGTATTCTTTCCCTAACGAGAAGTAGTACGGATATGCAAAAATTCGTATCGATTCATTTTTTTCGTCTGCTCTTTAACATCACTTTCGCACGTGAGAATTTTTCAGATACACATGACAAAAAGAAAGAAGAGAACTCTAAAACATGAATAGAAAAAGATCTTTCCATGTACGGACATAAAATTTCACCCTAAACCAAAAACATACGCACACCCATGGGAACGAATTACTTCTAAAGCTACATAGAACAAAGTAAATCATGAACCGTGGAAATAGAATAAGTAGCAAGCGATTGATATGTTCTTCCTGAAGTCATTAACCTAAAATTACACAGACTTGTAATTTAAAAAGAAAGAAAAGAAAAAGAAAAGAGAAAAAGAGCACAGCTTTATTAATCTAATTAAAACTTAATTTTTAAAAAAGAAAAATATGGAAAAAAGAAGAAAAATGTAACATTTATTTTTCGGAAAGTAACCAATTATTTGGCCTAATGAATCAATAATATTTAAATATATACCTGTTGAACGCGCAAAAGAACCTTCTAAAGAAACCACAACCAGAATTACGTAAGAATTCGCTATTTAGCTGGAAAAAGAAAAGAAAAAATAAACGAAATTTGGATCGGAAGAATCCGGATGAGTGCTTCTCCTCGTTATGTGTCACTGAAGAATCTAATAACACATCGAAGAGACGGTTTTCATGGAAGCTCAAAAGCTAATTTACACATCCAGAAAAGATATAACACACCTAGTCCGATGCAATGACGAATCAAAAAAATATTTCTTTCAAGGAACTGATCAAAGAAAAGAACAAATATACCATTTCGACACGTTTCCTTTTTCTATACAATAATTATACTTTTTCCTTCCCATAACGTTTAGTGTCTCTACATTAGAGTTATGCGAAATTAAAGTAGAATTAGAATTATTAGTTACGATTAACCCCTTTCCTTTTTCCAAAAGAGACCAGCAAAAGAAATTATTCAAAAGATATAAAGATATACACGTGTATAGATTGAAACAGGACATGCGAGGGCACGTAGCCATTTTCTACGTGCATTCGTATGTCGCATGATGTTCGTCGACGGATGCATCACGGTGTATATGGGAAGTCAATGATGCCACTCGCGTGAACATATAAGGAATGACGGTCGTCTACTTCCTACAAAACTTTTGCTCGTGAATATTCATTGCAAAGTTTTTTTAGTAACCTAATAGTACGATATATACAGAAACCGAATTTCATAGAAGATTCCTGGAAAAATAAGGATAATTAGAGATAAACTGTTAACCTAAACTGGTCCAACTCAAGCTCCCCTTTTTGCACAAATCTCGTTAGATATATATCTGGAGGTACTATTTTATCCTTACAAATAAGTATAATTAGACTATAATGTCTTTGACATTAAAATTATTAGCTATAACCTAACTCAAGAAACAGACTCCTAAAATTTTCACTAAGAGTGGTATCTTCTGCAACTTGTTTTACAAAATGAACACGTGATACATCCATGAAGCATTCACGAGAATCTTAATTTTGTCTTATTGATTATTCTTCGATTTTTCGTGTAACACGCGACGAACGATTTTGTACGTTACAATATCACAATAAATGCCGGTCGAGAATGGATCGTCTCGTATTATTCGTGTTGTTATCAACATTTCTTGCCCTGCTTTTACCATTTGTCATGAAAATGAAAACGAATTGAAAACGAAAAATAAAAAACGCTTGCAACTTCTTTTCGTTTAAACTGTACGTTTTAAATTCATCGCGTAGAAAATATTCGCGTAAACCTCAAACGGAAAGAAGCGTATCTAGCTACGTTCTCGCGTCTCTCCGACCGGAAACGCGTTCGAACATAAAATTCCCGCCCGACCTCGATCCCATTTTTCGAAACGACCCAAGTTCTCGTTGGCTCTTATAATTAGAACTACTAGCTATATTCTCATCTTAAAGTCACGAAGGTGGATTACGACACACAAGATGGACGTACTCGAAAGAGTTCCTAAATAATATTAATTTCTTTGCTCTTGTCACGAAAACATTGCACCCTACATTTTAATTTCTTCATTACTTTTCTATTTCCCTTTTTGCATTATGCTCGAAAGCATTGTTTTGTTTTACTCTTATTTGTGTTCCACGATCGCGCATACGTACATCGCTAATTACTAAGTTTTTTGGATAATTAATAGCAATAAGTCGGAGTGCGCGGCAAACCCCGCATTTTATGACAAAGAAAAACATGTTCCTTCTCCCACTTATGTTCTCTTATCCTCCCGACTTGATATACAACTCGCACACAGCGTGTATGTGTGTTTCATATTTCTCTCGTTTCGGCATTTGCGTTTTTCTCTCTCGAAAAAGGCGGTAATTGTTTTCGTATATTCATCGTACTTGCACGTTCCTTAAATTATCCCACCTTATCGTTTAATCATATACATATAATATATAATATATATATAATATATATATATGTATGTGTGTGTGTATATATATATATGTTGATCAATTACCAATTAAAAATTAGTAGTACCTATAGAGTCATCATCACAGCTAATTTCTTATCATCTTTTAAATTAATATTATTGGTTGATTATTCACTTTGTAATTCGTGCCCTTTTTTCTTTGGCGCCGCTTCTTTTCTCGGACGCCGTTTCTTCCTCTTTCATATATTTTCTCTCACTTTTACCACGCAATAGCGCCCTTTCTTCTTCCACTATATTTCGTTCGCCTTAAAGATCGCTTGAACCGAGTCTGGCAACCTTCAACTGTTTACTTTTTTTTTTACGTTTTCTGTATTTTTTTTTGTTTCACTTTTGCACATACTGACTATTTTTTGCACTTCTCCGAGACTCGAGCAGGTAATTACGCATATTGCTGTTACTTAAAGTTTCAAACTCTTTTTAAGCCTTTTGCTCTCAATCGGAACGGAACAAAACGCCGTTATTACCGAGATATTTCGATTAATTTACCCTTTATGTATATGAGATATACATAATGCACATCGTCCGTCTGCATTCTGTTTCGCCGTATGTACACTAATCCCTCCCCCTTTTTTTTTCTTTTTTTACAGTACATTTACAGATGTTGCTTGAAATTTACAACTTCTTTATCAACCCTCGTCTGTCTATTTACACCATTCACAAACGATGCGCGTCTGTGCAATAATTCCCATATGCTCAAAGCGGGATGATGATTCGATCGATCTCTCACAGGACGGCAGTGCTTAATTCGTTTTACTTCACGCCCAATGAGGTCTTAAGAAAAACTCGTACCGAATTTGAAAATTTTCCATTCGAATCCTGGCACGTATTTACAATTAACTTTCAAATACCACACCTAATATAATTATACATATACAATTTAAAGCCGATTAATAAAATAATAATCACTGGACAAATACTGAAATCTCCTAGCAGTTTGAGACAGATCGTTGTACTTCCTCCTTCGAATCAAAAACATCAAACGAACGTGGAGGAGCATTTCTTTTAGCGAAGACCCTCGATAGAAACCCATTTACTTAAAAAATCTGGAACTTATGCGTATATTGTTAATAACAAAACTATGTATGCGATAAGAACGATTCTCTATCGATGTGATCCTATCTCTGTATTTTAAATTGTTTTTTCATCTGACCAATTGCGACAATTCCTCTTCCGTCGAGAGCAGAAACTATTTAGCAACAAGTATGGCGACCATCGTTTATCTTCAAGCTCTTATCTTATCACACATGTGCTATCATAAAAAAACTATTTTTCTCTATGGAAACAGACGAACAGAAATTTGAAACTGCCAAAGAACCTTGAACAAATACGATTTTTAAGAAAGGGAGACGAATTCAAAGAAACTAATCTAACTAAATAATCGAATTCTTATGAAAGTAAGAGGAATGAAGACGGATGTTGATTAATATAATTCTTTCCTTCCCTTTTTCTCGGAACTGCAACTCCCTTTCGCTTTCTGCGAACCGCCACACAGCGACGATTCCCAAAAAGGAAAAAGAGAACGAATCGAGATAGTGTTCATTGAGTTTCGTTAGTAAATTCGAAAACCCATGAAACTCTTCTCGATTTTACATCAAAATTTCTGTCAATCATTCCGTGAGACATACCGCTGGTAGATGCTATAGATACGATTAAAAATTTGTTTTGCCTTACGAGACTACGAAGATGGAGAAAGTAATTGAAAGTTCGAGATTGCACATTTTTGCCATCTTTTCTCTCTTTCTCTCTCACTCCTTCACGCAAGATATATACATTCACACGCATGGATTCACTCAGTAGCTTTTTCTTGAGATCTGCATGTACATATACCGAAACCTATCTTCGTAATTCACCTTAAAAATTAAACTTATGAAAGAAGAAAGAAAGTAATTACTAAAGAAAAAATGAAACTAACGTAATTTAAGAAAAGAAAAAAAAAAGAAAAAATAGTGCTTTCTTTTAGATAAAAAGAAAAAAACGTATTAGTTAAAACACCACTTCAAATAATTTGGTCAGTCTACTTGATTAAATATATGATCGTATTTTAGGTAAAAAAAAAAAAAAAATAAAAAGAAAGAAAAATGCAAGAAAAATTAAAAATTATTGTTACTATCTTTGTCATGTAACGAGTGCAACGTTAGAAAGAAAAAAATCATTTATAACAGTATAAAATTAGCAAAAATTTTACTTTTGAAATATATATGCTTAGAACTGAACCAAAAAATTTTGTTAACTCATAATTTCAGTATTAAATAATAAACGATATCCAATTCCAAATTTAAATAAAATCACTTTGTAATGAAATCTTATGACAAGCTTCTGACCACATTTTTTATATTAGATAAAAATTAAATTTGTCACTTAAAGAAAACCTTCATAAAAATTTTGTTAACTTAAGCAGAAGCATTGCTTAATCTCGAATTTACTGAAAAATGGAGAACAAAAACTAATAAACATTCATCAAGCATATATCAGATTATTTTCACTATCGTTCATTCACACAATTTAATCCCATTTTTCCATTGATGAATTATGGGATCTCATCTGTATGCACGCTGGAAACACGTCACTTAAATCTTATGTAATGCTTTGCAGAACTATTGCAAAGCTGCAAAACGAGTAAGGATACCTTCGATAGTAAAAGAAGATAAATAGAAACCAACAAATTTTGCTCTGGTAAATCTTTCAAGGATAATTTGATTATGTCCTTATGATTCATTGAACATTGGATTCTACCAAAACTATTGACAACTTAACTGAACCTGGGAGGCAAGCAGTTACATAGGAATAATAATTAGTCTGATATACACTTAATCGATACTTAGGTTTATGCTAAAGAGCAGTAGATGAATATATATAATACTTAAAGTTTACCACTTATGTTGTAAATATAAAGTATCTTTCAATGAGGGAAAAAAGCAATTAGCATACATCTTGTGTAAAGATTTAAATAACTATTTTGGAAAGAATTCCGGGTTGCAATTGAAAAAAGAATAAAACATACTGTCAATAATCAACAGTGCTAGGATGTAGCAATTTTGATTTAAACAAAAAAAAAAAGAAAAATAAAGAGTATATAGCTATTGTTTTTAAAAATAGCTAATGCAGCTTTGCCTATGTCTTCGTACCATTTCGTCAAACAGATAATATAATAGTGTTTATGTATTTGTGTATGTGTATGCGTCTCTGCAAGTTAATCATATATAATAATAATCTAAAATACATACGTTTATATCTTCATAGACGGCGCATAATAGAATTGTTACAAGTTACCATATACTTGAATCATGGTTCACGGCAGACGCACCTGCGTCTTTCATACTCAATGTTTATATGTTTTGTATAGTTTTAAACAACGAATCCTGGTTTGTTTTTTCTTCATCTCCTTAGCATCTGATACCATGAAACTGAAGACGCTGGTGCCCTGTTTTTCTTGTTGCAATATTAATCGCGTATCGTTCTTAAGAGATTGTGTTATCGCGCAGTTATAAACACTTCTGTTTTTTTGTTTGTTATGTTTAAAACGAACAGCTTGACATCACATACAAGAGAAAAAATACATCCTTAAATTCAAGAGTAGGGGAACGATAATATCGTACCTGTCTCTTTGCTTTTAGGAGCTGGTAACCGTTTTTAGCGGTTTGTTGGTCTTTAGGTATCAGGCTTGGACGTTTAGTATCATTTTCAGATGCTTTGAAATATCGCAACTCCTGTCGGATTGTTGACAACTGCTCATCAGTCTCGTAGTCCAATGGCTCGGTGGTTTCGGAAGGCTCGCAGGAGATGGCGGTTCAGAAAACTTTGCACCCGCATAGAAACTGTTTGTTGGACTGCCGCGCGGACTGTAATCACATCGCAACGGCGAAGTTCTCGAACCCTTTGACAAACCGTGTGGGCTGCAGGTTAGTCTGCCGGTTGAATTTCTGCCATGAGATCTTCCACTGTTGTGGAAAAATGTTGACGATTTGATTGCACTTGAACGGTGATGATATCGTTCCACACCGACATTCGGCGAACCCTGCCGGTCTACTTTGTTCTTCAATTTTGGTACCGAATTCGTCATGGCTTCTTTATAATACTTTCGTCCTTTCTATCACTCACGAAGTCAACCAACCCGTCTACAAAATTAATTACACTTTTAGCTTTCTAACACTTCAAAAAATATTATTAATCGTGAATTCGATATTTTTAACATTTATCAGCATATGATTACGTCAACATGCAGTGTTTTGAAAAGAAGATAAGGAAATATTTGATTTTATTTTATGGCAAAACAATTTGGCATGCGTCATTCGAAGATATTAAAATTTCATCACCAAGCAATATGAAACATGTTTTACTCAAATTCAATACGCAACTGCTATAAGTCTGACCCCATACTGATCGATGATAAAAGTAACATACATGAAACACAACACTGTTTAACTCCTTGTCTTACCATTTTTTGTGTAAAAAAATATATTTCTGTACATATACATTGACATCAGATGATCACTGTCTCAATGTCATATTTAAAATAAAACTGAAATATTATATACTAAATTTGTACAATTCTATAAATTAGACTTGTAGTTTAGAATTAAAATTAGGGTTAAAATTAACACGTTCTGCGCCGGTTCTGGACTTTCCGTTCGAACTATTTTGGTTCTAAAAGGAAACAAAAATATCAAACATTTTCTGACAATATCTGACGCTAAATTATGATGTGTATACATTACGATATTCTATATATTAGGCTTTTTTCTTTAATAAAAATTTTATGAAAAATTTATTTACTAAATATATAATATAATAAACACATTGCTTGTGTGATTCCACATAATATATCGATAATAAAATTGACGCGGCACAAAGTATCTTAAACTTCGATATAAATACAGTTTCCTTTCATTGTATATAGCTTGTTAACCTACGCTACGAATGTGACTCGACATTATTGTAAGCCAAGAAGTTGTTACAAAAGTTGATTTTATTATTATTGTTATAATAAATAAAATATATATAACAAATATAAATATATGTAAATATAACAAATATAAAAAAGTAAATAACAAGAAAATAAAATCAAACACATTGCATTGAAATTACAACAGCAAACATAGAAGGGGGCGAAGAGTAATTAATTTTGGAGTTATATCAAAAGACTTACCATACGATGTCCGCGGGCTACTTTCTAAAGATGCAACCAAGTTTTCGGCGGTCTTTATATTCAATGAATTTTCTAACTGCGCAATAATCTCGGGATTCAGGGCAAAAGGGAAGGGGGAATAAATGGTGGGGTACCCTACGAACCTCCTTCTGAGCACAATGCTACCTCGCCTCTTTTACTTCGAGTTCTCTCGCAGTCCTCCCTATTCGTGTATTTTGCGAATTTGACCACATTCGGTGACCGTTGGTCACCTCTGCTTACACTTTTTTTCTTCCTCACCAAATAAAAATCACACGCGTCGCTCCCCGGAATTCTCACTCACTCACTCTTTCTCTCTCTTCCTTCCTCTCTTTCTCTCCCTCTCTCTCACACTCTCACTTCCTTTTTTTAACGTAGCTGGAGAGGCACAAGATGGCGGACACGAGTTGTTTGTTTTCGCTATTCCGCACGGATTTTTCACAATACGATCACCGTTCGACAGCGAAATTGTACGTATTCGTACCTTCGCAACGCGCATGCGCATGTACACATATGTTCATAAAACATGAAATTAACTTTTATCAGCAATATCTCGTACGTTCTGCATATGTCGCGCACTCAAACCACGTTTATTCTATTTTAAAAACTGATATTTCATCATATCCGTGTTCAGCAATGCTTGTTAAATTTCTGCCTCTCTTTTTACGATTTTTTTTCTTTCCTCTTTCTCCCTTTGTCTCACTTTTAAGCTCATATTTATCATTTCGTCAATTCACACTAAACACTCGCTGAAACCGGATGTGTACTGCGTTCGAACTCGTAAACTATGTGCTCGTAAGCACGATCCTTCTCCCGTTCTCTCTCTTATCTTTATGAAGATACGAGCGAAACTTAAGGATTATGAATATCCCCCACCAGTCGTCTGGACCAATATTTTACAGCGTCACGTGATCTCATCTATCCAATCGCGTGGTTTCTGTCTCGGGTTGTTTCGGCTTTTTTCGTATGAGTCATTGGGTTCCCTTTGAAATCTTTACAAAATTAAAAATTAAAAGCCCTCTTAACATTAAAAATATCTATGAATTTTTTGAAGTCGGATACTATTAGCGTTTGGCATATTTTATATTAAAATTACTAAATAAACTAATTTGTATATAACGATCGGAAGGTAGGGCATGCCGATTGGTGGAATACAGCGAAACACGACCACGACAGCTCATGATACTGAATTTAAGGAATGATTTTACACCCTTTATTGTTTCTCTCTTTGTTTACCAGATCATCTTTAGCAAAGATGAATGGAAAATCACAAAATGTAACGTTCTACACCTTGAAACGTTCGGAAAAATACTTAAAGAAACACGTAGGGAAAGGTGTACATAAAAAAGTGGATGATAATGTCAGTAACTACAGTTTCAAACCATTTCTCCACAACTTACGCTTATGATTTGAATTTTTTAAAAATTATAGTAGAATTTAAAAGTAATGTTAAATAATGCAAAATCTTTAAATTGCAATGTCTTTCTATACATGTATGTAATCTCAAAAAATGAAAAATACATGTAGTCTTTAGATGGAATCTGATGGAATCTGAAGTAAGTTATAAAACATTACGACGCAAGAACTGAAGAAGAAATAGTCTATAGAGGTGAATGGTGCGGAAAGCGATTAACGTGTTCTCCCACCGTAGACATGTTTTTAAACTTACCAAAGTCTACATGTATCTGTACACATTTGTATACACTGACAGCACGCTTATACAAAGTGCAAATGCTCAAACATTAAGGAAAAAAAAGCAAACTTATTTTTATAATATTAATGGAAATTTGTTGTGAATTATTGGTCAAAGTTTCAAAGATAAGCGGTATTAAATGAAAAGAGAAAATAGAATAAAATTATCATGAATTAGAATGCGACGAAACTATGCTACTTAGTCGAGTCTTTTCTCTGTCGATATTGATGGATAACAACGCGACCACTATGAGGCAAGCAAGTGGTGCCGCCATTAACCTACGGCGAAATAAGCGAAGTTCGTGAAAGCGTTTGACTTGACGTCAGTGGCCAAGAACGCTGATAATCTTACGACGTAGATATTGCTACGCGGAATATCATACAATATTTTTGGTGGTTTACGGGCGAGATTAATTAAACATATGAACGTATTTGGTGGTTTATGGTTTAACATACGGCCTCGAGAATATCAGTAGGCCCATAATGGGCGGGGTCGTGGCTTGGGTCGAGTGAGAGACATGGAGCGACCTCAGTGTTCTCAGTGGTGAGCTGCACGGCCATCGCCGACCGTCGGTTTCGCCTAGCGCAACCAACGTACTCTGCTATGACATCGCTCTGAAAATCCCAGATTATCCCAGTAAAAGGTAGGAGTTTTCCCTCCGAAATTTGGATGCGCGCTGTCTCTCTCTATTTCTCTCGCTCGCTCGACCCCTGTCTTTATTTCACCCCCGGACGGTGTGCTGTTCCCAGACATTTCCCATTGCTTTTTCGTAGATTTCCCAAATGCGTTTCTCCGATGACTGAATACACATACATATATATAATTTTTCTTAACTTTCCCTATCCGAAAAATTTTTCTGTAGCAGTCCACCGTGATAATCCTCCCCCTTTAGATTTCCTTTCGCGTTATCCTTTCTACGTCTCCCACCATTCGATATACGCATTTGCCCAGCGTTCTTTGTTCGCTCGGTTTCGTATTTGGCTTTCATTGTGGTATACCACCTTCAATTTTCAATAAGTGCCCTTCGTAAACAGAGGATGCACACAAAGCGTGAAAACGTGTCCCTTACGTGCACATGGAAAGATAATTAATATATGTATAATATATTAATATATATATATAAATATATACATATAATTATACATATGAAACTATGTATAGATATATATATTACGTTTGTTTGCACTGATATGCACCTATGATATAGATTTTTTCAATTTTTCTGCCATTACGTCCCTCCATGTTTAATCCACCTTCTTTTTCCTTTATCCCGTTCAGATATGTGTATATATTAACATGCTACATGTATGATCATACCGAACGTGTATCTGTACACATGGGACGCAAGTTTGTTTGTATATGTGCGTATATCACTTATACGTGAAAGTACGAGTACGTAGCAAAAGCTTTCTTCTTAAATTTCTTAAACTGAGCTTCGCTGTTTCGTTATACTTGTGCAACATAGCCATGGTACGTTGTACCCCATATACGTACCTTTATTGCTAATAAGTACAGATCAGAAAGCGACAGGCGCATCATCAAAACTGGAGAACGTATAGAAACGAAATCTTTTCTTATTATTGCATCTCTATGTATTATAGTTACAAAAATTGTTATGATTATCATCGATTTCTCATAGGAAACTGCCTGTCTTTTGAATTTAAACGCATGTGACATGCAATTGATTATTCGCTTAGTTTATATGTACATATGAAGCAACACTAGTTTTCCATGCATAGTTGATAGTGAAACTTCGTAGCTTCGACCAATATACGCACGTATAATGATACAATATAACAATACCAACATCATAATAATGACGCTTTCTTCATTCATGTGTTTTTAACAAAAACGCGAAATCAAATTGCAATTTTCTCGTTACATTAAACGAACTTTACCGAGAAACGAATATATTTAAAACCTTTTAATTTTCATGACAACATGTAGATATATGTAAAAATTAAAGTGCGTTTTCTTCGTTTACTCAGATGGCCAAAAGTTATAAGCAACAATCATGATTTTCTTACTGTTCCGTAAGGTCCGCTCATAAATGCATAGGATTTTGCAACATTTCTTCTAACAGATTCTACTCATACATGAAACTTGGTACGTTGGTGACTGAAATATATTACATGCAATTACAATTTTATTAATTTCAGTGTTAAATAATATATTTTTTCTATAACAAATAAAACTAGGATACTAAAATAAATAGTTAGATGTTAACCTAAAAATTATTTTACACGTCATATCCTATCGAACATTGTCGCGCGGTATATTTAAAGCATCGTGAAACCGATGATAATTTAGACATATGGATATCTTCTGCGGCCAGCTTATTTGATTATAGTCCAATATAAATTTACTGCGTGGAGAACATCATTCCCTGTAGCTACGCGGCTAACTCTATACTTATACAAGCTTTTAAACATCGGATAAAAGTTCCCTGAAAAATAGGTTTCTAGAAGCGAGAGAAAAAAAGCTTCAATGAAAATTTATAAGCATTCTACAGTGAATACTTCTTCAATAATGTTCCACAAGAAATTACAAGTGAATAATTGAATATGTCAAGACAGATATTAATTCGAATAAGAGATATATGTATGTTCGAATGATATATGTATATAACAATTCACAGGTGAAGATTAGAAAACGTCTCCAATTCATGTCTAGCTCATTTCTATTTGTTCTGTTTATCATTTGCACAGTAATTTCTGAATCATCAATCCCCGTAGAGAGTTGACACCGACAGAGACCCGATTTCGTCAGGATGAAAGACCCAGATTTCGCGATGACGGGGCGGACCCGCAGTATGGGAACCGTATCGACGATAACACGGGCCGTCGCGTCGTGGCATTAGGGCTACGGCGTTCTCTCAAGTTCTCGTGTCAACACATTCTCGACGCCCACGATGAGTGACGCATGCGCCCTAGACGCCTGAGTCGCTCTTCTTCCGTTCCTTACTGGCGTTCGTCCCTCTCCGTACTCTTTCTCGCTGATTCATTTGCTGGTTCTTTCGGTTTCTCTCACAACGTGCACACAAAGATCGTCTCATCCTATTCCTTGGATACGCCCCTGCTTTTTGTACCGAATTCCCCTTCCCTTTCGCCACCAAGTTTGGCCGCTACGAAATTCCTAATTCGGCGAGGGTGCATAGACAATGCAGGTCGTTAAAATAATTTCTGGCTTTAAAGGATTCTTCGAAAGGCGAAGTTGATGAAAGTACAAGAACGAAAATTGTATCTGAACTAATATTCCCTGTGTACAGTAGCCCCTACGTCGACCCTTTGATATGTACGCCCCTAGCAGGCGCGTAAACCTAATCGTTCTTCCCCCACCAAATCGAGTTGAACGTTGTCGAATCCCCTCCTCTTCCGCTCCCACTGCACACACCAATTTTCCAATTGATAAGGGTGCACAGTTGATACAGACTAACCCTATCCCTCCATCCTTTCTTTCGTTGTCAATCCCTCTTTATTTCTTCACTGGCTCCTGGTCTGTTTGGTGCCTTCGTTGAAAGGTTAACATCGCTGCGCCGAGATAACGTTCGTTTGTTTTTCGAAAACACCGTCGCAGTCTGTACCGCAACTTGTTTCAACAACAAAGAGAGAGAGAGAGAGAGAGAACGAAGATTATGCTCACGGAGAGCGTGAGAATTGTAGCGGGAAATTCAAAAGAGGCACATAACCTCGCTTTTTTATTCATCGAGAAATTACTGTCGAGAAAATTCAAGTTGGATATCGAACGGAGATCTGGGTAAAAGCAGGAGGGGAAACTTGTTCCTAGTGAGCAACCGAGTCGTACGTTACGTAAAATTAACAATCATGTTCCGAAACTCACTTTCCCGTCTGGGATTTCGGGAGAGGGAAGTTGATGGCATGAGAATGTTACGAGGTAACGCTGGGTAGCCCCAAACACAGAGCCAGTAGTATGTACTCTGACCGCACAATGCTGTCCTTTAACGGAGAAATGATTTTTCCTACCGATCAAAAAGTCGGACAGAGAGCGTGCAACTTCTTCCCAGTCATAGTCGTTTTCGTTTCGTATCGCGTAACGGGAGAGACAGATCTCTCCTCGACCAACTCTTATAAAACACTTATGTAGAATAAGTTGAGCTTTGACTCGATGCGTGACGTGTATGACAGCTGTAGCGCGGCGTTGCCACGTGTTGACTTTGGCTTAACCTAAGCGACCAACTCGCTAGCCAAGCATGTGCATTCTGATTATCTTACGTTCAAGTATTGTTATAATATAACTGTTATGACACAGGCAAATGTGAATTTGCCTTAAAGGCAAGGTGAAGATGTTGCACAGTAAAAACGTAGCGCAACTTCGTCGATATTATGCAATGTTATAAGGTTGGAGTAACAATTTATTTGTTCTACGTTTTTCGCGCTTCTTACATGAAAATAACCTATCTCGACTTAACCTATCAATTTACAATCTCGAAACTTTTTTCTTTACAATTTCCAATATATATTCTGTTCTTATTGCGTGTATTTCCCATAATGGTTGAATTGAAAGGCTTTCTATGAATTTACATGAGTGGCCAGCATTCGTGTTTCACGAGGGATATCCAACCTTGTGGAAAATGTTCGCTCCATGTTCAAGTACTAGAACTTTGGCGTGTTTACTTACACGCTCAGGGCTGTGCCAGCGGGGACCCAACATGATCTTCAAGAACTGCGTGGGTGCGGCCTTTCCCTGGTCTCGAAAGAAGGGGGACCGGATTCTCTTTCCTTTTCTTTCTCTCTCTCTTGTTCGCTCGCTTGCTCAGTAGGTCCTATCTTTTTTTTTATTTGAAGGTCCCTTCATGCTCGCGGCTTTAGCATCAGCACTCCCTCGCTTTAGGGTCGTCCCTATCTTCCTTCCTCTCGACTACCCTTCACGATATTAAACCCTGTAGGACCCAGGGATGTACATACGTGTATCCATTCGCTATACGTGGATGAGTAATTTTCCCTTTTTTATTTTTATTCTTTCTTAACAAATCAACTGATGTATGATGTATCGATATGATTCACGATCACAGTGAGCAATGCGTAAATTATACGTAGGGACTCAATCTACTTACCTACTAATACAATTGCTGTACAGTTTTACATTTAATGTCGATCGATAGTATCATTATGTATACGAGTGTGCATTGGTTACGTGGTATGAAATTCGCAATTCCAAGCATGTTTGCGCTCTTTTCCATCGAATAGGAAAAGTTACACGTTTGCTAGACACAATAGCTGGTCGGATTCGTACCTTCATTGATTCTCGATTGATTTTAATCGCGCGTAAGCAACCTTACATTTCTTTATGGACATATCGTACAAATAATTACTCAAAACATATTGTCTACATGCTATCTTCTGCGATTATACTGAATTTCTGCGAATAATACAATTGCTTCACAATTTAATTCTCTTGGAACCCCGTTTGTACCGTTAATCTTTTAAGATAATAAATCGATCAGTATCCCTTTGCTAATATTTAATATCGTAATCTTCTTCGTTTACGAATACAGATAAATCAAAATAAAGGAAAAAGTAAACTCTTATCACGTGGTCGAGAGAGCACGTATCGACCGTATCGCCGCAAAGCGAAAGTGCGGGGCCCCTTTGTCGTGGTGTACATTCATGCGGCTGGTCTCCCCCACCACCGCCAATTCTTCCCACCACGCGGCCAACTCCCCTTCTAGTCTAGCGCGAGCCGCGTTTCGCCTCAGTCTGTCGCGCGCCACGAACGGTTCAAGTTATATGTTTCGTGTGTGTCACAAGCGGTGGTGGTTGCTTTACGTACGTGCGTGTGTGTTTCGACAGTGCGCGCGTGCGTGCATACATCGTGTGCCTTTTACGGTGTCACAGTGTATACGTGCGTCTGATACTATCATCGTGGTCTCTGCTTTCGAACGCTCGAACACAGCAACGGTGACATCGAAGCATGACAGCGACGCGGGAGTGTTACCCCATACGGTAGGAAAAACTTCCTTCCACTGTTTTTCTCCCGATTACTAACGTTCGTCTCTATTATATCTCAGATACAGCCTTAGTAGAAAAAACGTAAGCCTTGGAACAGTTACTATTAGACATACTAGGACACGCTCGGAAACGTATACAATAACGTCGCGTTAGCTGTTCAGAATTCTCTCTTTTTAACTGACCGTCGCTACCTCCACCACTTCTTGGAACTGATTTCTTCAACTACGATTAAGATACTAATATTTGGCACATTTGTTTATTTTACATATATAGGTAACATCAACGATTCGTTTCATTAAGTCAGTTCTGATTGGTGGGGATAACTACAGTCAGTTCACAAGGCACGATTGTACATGTAATTTGACTCAGGTTTAACAGGAAAGAAAGATACTAGACTTTTTCTAGTGATACATATATGCATGTATTTGCCTTGATAACTGACCAGATAAGATCTTGACCTGTGGCCAGTTAGCGAGAGCATCACTGTACTTGGACACAAATGTTTTGTTCGAATCGATACGCCCTCCGGCGGGCATTTCGTATCTCGTAGAACCTACACCGGAAACGCTTTTCTCTGTACACACGACTTGCAAGCGATTTACGGAACAATGTATACCGCTGCTTTTTAATCTGATAGATAAGCGCTGTCAGACCACCTTTTCCTTTTCCGCTGTTATCTGCTCCGATCGTTTCGCTCGATTCTTTCTCGGCTACGTCAATGCTTCTCTAGCGACTCATGCTCGTCACGCGTTCGGAGCGAGCAAACAGGGACTTTAATAGGGAAAATCGTGCGGTTACTATCTTTCGCACGACTACGTGGATACTTACGTATATACCCGTGTGACGATAAATAAGTACTTACGTATTTTTCATATATCTAAGGTCTACTGGCAAGCTATTTTGCCGACTGTCTTGTCTTCGTACGTCAAGGTCTCGCGCTTTGTATTGCAGTAAAAACGTTACGGAGAAACACCGATACAAGTGATACACTGTATTTAAGGCTACCTTCGCACTTGTACCCATGTATAGCTCGTTTCTCTTAGTACAATTAAAGAATAAAATTGTGATTTAGGAATTTAATACTATTCTAAACATCGTACATATGCCAAAATTAAACTTGTATGGAAATTTTCTTAAAATTGACATATCGTTACTATTTATGAAAAAATGTTTATGTGACAAAGAAATTTAACAATTTTAACAGTTTTTAACGCGATCTTTTCCTTATTATACTGATACGATACGATGCTACATAGATAATCGCAGTTATTTTGAGGTTATGTATTTTCTTCTCCTGTCAGATGGCAGATAACGATTTAAATTTCGTTCGATATCCGGTTGACTGTACACACAACAGAATTTAAAGTCGTATTCTGTTAAAATCGAGGAAATTGACGTTGTTGGCGATCGTCCTTATTTCTGCCGATAAACCAAGCACTGAATCGAACTGATCGTGTGCGTTGTCGACTGACATGGAGCTGAAAGGTTAGTTACGACTATATTCCAGCCCGGGGTATTTCCGTCATCTCTGAAAATGATTCGCTGAAGGAATCGTAACCATTTTTCCCACTAATGAAAAACAACCGCGATTTAGATAGTTAGGTCCTCGTGGGGAACGAAATTATCACGAAACATATTGTCGAAGCTGTAGCCTGTAACCATCGAATAGCGTAATTTTGAGCGTATAGAAGTCGTTCTATCTAACGTTTGGAAAAAAATCTTGTTGCGTAATATTATCGAAATAATAATATAAAGATGTTAATTACTAAAATACGTAATATTGATAATAATTTTAATCGATAGCATAGATACGTTTTCTGTGCCTATATTTTTCTCTATGCCTTTCTTTGGAGATTTTTTCTTTTCGTTTTCTTCGAGAAAGATTTTATTGAACGATAGTCTGCCCATCCAGCATCTACCAAGAGAGAAATGTGACACCAATGCGATAAACAATATTTTTCTTTCTTCCACTTATTGTCTTTTCGTGTCGCTCTTTCTCTTCTGTTTCGCATGTCGTTGTATTCGCTAGATTAGAATCTTTTTACTGTGGCGTTTCGTGTTCGTTCTAGTAACCGAGAGAAGGAGAATTGCAGAAAAGGGCCATTTCTTACTCTATTCAGAAACGACGAATTTGTGCACAATGTTAAAGTATATTTCTTAACGAATAAAAGATACTATAATTATTTATTTGAAATGCCATAGGAAGCGGACAAGTAACTTAAAAAATGAAATGTCACATTTAAATAATAATAACGTTTTATGGTCGTTGAAAGATCGCTTTAATATCTTCACCAAAATTTTCTGTTTTTTGGGGGCGAAGAAGACAATTGTGTTCTAACCGTTTGCCCTGAAGTTAGGAAATTTATTTCTTTATTCATAGTAGAGAATCAGAAATAGAATATAATGAATAAATTGAATTATTGTTACAATAGTTTTATACTATTCTTCTTTTCTCCCTATTTTTCAAGAAATGTAAGGTTATGTTTGCTGCTTCGACGTAGAAACGTTTTGTTTAGCTCATCAGTTTGCTTTGGTCACTGGTTACGTTGCAACCACCTTGAACTCGAAACTCTATTGTATATCTTATTTTACGTTTGTCTTAAAATCTATTACCATAAATTAAAGTTACATTTTTAAGTAATTTATTCGTTTTCAATCATTTCATAAGAAATGTATTATTCGTACATGAAATTAACATTGTTATACAGAAAATATTGATAATGAAAGCTTCTTTTTTATTAGATAAATACATATCAGAGAGAAGAGTAAAATAATATATAATTTAAAAGATAATAAAAATTTAGTTACATGGAATATATCACGTTTCAAACATTAATTTCCGGAAACGAGGCAAAATTGACTTAAGCCTCGTTTACCTTAATTTTTTTTATCTTCAGAATACATATTTCACAATCCCAATAAAAAGTTTTAATCTTCTTTACGTAATTTTATTTCATTCCTTCTCAATAATTTCAAAGAAAATTTATTAACTTTAAATTTAGATTTAAAGTAGATATGGCAATAATTAACTTTAATGTTTGGTACGTACTACAGATTTGGAATATGTATTTGAGGTAATAAGGGAAAGTTTTGAAATTTCATTTAACAGTTCGCAGTCCTTCAAATTGCATGTAGGCGGAGATCTCTGGAAAATCTTAAAATTTAGAACATACATCTATATTCTATGGAAAATATAATTCGCTGTAGAATTAACTTTAGACATTTCTACAGCAATCATTTTTTTCTATTTCTATTGTATCTATACATTATATATAGTTATATGTTAGATAATAAACTGCAAGTTATTTCCAAAAACTGCAAAATTCTTAATAATTCAATTTAAAATTCATCATTCGTAAAACCAATCGTAAAGAGCAAAATTACAGGACGAATTATCTTATAAAAATGTTCAAAACTCTATCTACTCTGTACTAAAATTTATATGAAACGCTGGAACTTTTTCAGAGATATTTTCAGAACTAAAATTACTTAATCAATTAAATATTTATAGAATATACTTCAACTTTTTCCTAAAAACAGTCAAAACGGTTATTGTTATTATTATTAATCAAATTACTATAGATACCGATAATACAACGAAAGCAAAGAAGCTGTTCAATGTTATATTCTGAATATAATTAAAAAAATATATATATTGTACAAAACCGAGGAACACAGTGAATCATCAGAATTTCTCAAGACGTCACGCGATGCATCGTGTAGCTCGATGTTTCGTTACATCCGTGCGGGCACCGTTTCCGGTCGCCGCTTTCCGTAAAACGTCGTTGGAACCGAAAGCTTCGTTTTCTTTGCGAATTGCATGGAATTACGGCTCGCGTATTCTCGTTTCGAAATCAGCCAGCTAAGCCAGCCTACCATCTTGCTGCTATCTGCCTGAGAATATGTTCAGGAAAACGATGTATGTGAGAAGTTCAAGACTTGTTGCGAGGGACTGAAACCAGCCAGAGGCAGGTGGTACCTGAAGAAAGGCAGCAGGTCCACCTGGGTTTTTTCAGGAAGTGCACTTCGCCCGTACACTGAACGGTACCTTCGTATATCCTTAGTTGGAAGGGTCCCTTCTATGGAATTGTACTATATATAAGTACTGTATTGCGAATGATGGGAACATGGCAATTGGTAGGAGGGTTGGAAATCAACCCTTACGATAGTAAAAATTTGGTTGACATAAATATTGAACTATAAAGATTGTTAGTTATAATTATTGTAGAATTCTATAGATTTTTCATGCTTCTTCAAGGTATACAGTTTGTTATATTATACATAAATGTACTATACTACATTTGATGGAAATATAGCAGTTGGTAGGTTTAGAAATCAAACATTACAGTAGTAAACAGTTTATTGATGCAGATGTTGGTAATATAAGAAATGTTCGTTGAAATTATTATGGAATTTTCTATTGATTTTCTTTCTGGTACTTATTCAAGTGTAAAGTATAGATGTAGAGGATTTAATTATGGTGCGAGGACGGTCATGCTGTGTGTACTAAAATTTATTTGAGGATTAAATGGTACATAACCAGTAAGAATTCTTGAATAATTAGATATTTGTTGAATGCTTTTTCGGAGGTTTCCGCTTCTCGACCGTCTTTATAATAGTCCAGGTCATTTATATTGTTCAAATATTTTACTCGAGCTTATGCTTTAGTACACGACCAAGTCTAAGAACTTTTTATATTTCTACCGTTGCTGTCTATCAATCGAGAAGAACCTTTCAACCTTTCAACGAAGAACCTTTTCCGTAATCTTTTAATCTTTCATGTTTGTAAGCGTTTCTGACGGATTTTATATCTTTCGAAACTAAGAAATTTTAACAACTTGAACAAGCCTCGGTCAGAGTTATAGCTCTCCATTGTTCCTCATTTTCGATGGCGACCCTGCGGAAATCGAGAAATTCCCTTGAACGCGGTCGTTGGACCGCGATACGGGTCTTTCTATGTACCTATGTGCGGTCTTGTTTTTCGTGAAAGTGAC